TCACAACTATTAGCATTACATTCAGTGGTATATGGGAATTACGATTTGTAACATTAGTGCAAAAAAGCATTACTATGGATTCTGTATGGTGTGAAATGGGAAGTCAATGGGGGGGGTGACACCATGAGTTACCGCACCGGGTGACACCAACTCTAGGGACAACACTGAGTGGAATCCTCACATAAAGGGTAGAAAATCCACATTTGTTGGTCCCAGTGGTGGGATTATGGTATATGAGAGAGCCCTCCAGTTCAACTGGAATCAAATTGTTATAACTGTGTAGCACGAAAGGGCCCCATGATAATGGGCTACAGTAGCTGGATGCTATGATGCATTCCACTTGGGGCCTTTTTACACTAGTCAGTTATAGCACTTTGGTTCTACTTTAACTTCCATGACTGCATCTTATGGAATTCTGGGATTTGTAGTTTGGTCAGAGGCACCTGAGAAGCTCTCTAGCTGAGGGACCCTTCCCTCACCTTCCATTCCCAGGATTCCATAGGATGAATAGAACCACAGCAGTTAAAGTGAAATCATGGTGCTGTAATTGTGCCGTACTTGGTGTGTCACATATCAGTAAGGGTTTCCTAAGGATTCAAGGTGGTTTACAAACATTTTGGAAAAAGAATCAGAGTACAGGTTTTAAAATTATCTGTACAAATGTTTTAAAACAATTAAATGACCATTCCGTTTTAAAAACCCCACAAGGTTAAAACAATATAATACACAATTTAATATATAGTAAAAAAGAAAGAAAGATAAAAACAACACCTTGTTAAAAGCTCTTTTCACCACATAAATTATAAGCCAGAGACCACTTTGAATAAAAAGAGGAGAGAGGGGCCAAGTGAATCTCCCAGGGAGGGAGCTCCATAGCCTGGGAGCAAACACTGAGAAGACTTTCTCCCATGGCCTCACCAAATGCGCCTATGATGGTGGTGGGACCAAGAGAGAGCCTCCTCTCAAAGATCTTAAAACCTCCACAGGCTTATATAGGGAGATACGGTCTTTCAGATAGTGAGGACCCTAGCCATATGGGGCTTTAAAAGTCATGACCAGCTCTTTGATTTCTGCCCAGAAATGGACCAGTAGCCAATGAAGTTGTTTCAACAACCGGGTTATATGCAGTGATGTAGACTTGAGTTGATTGCAACAGAGTTCAGTCAGACACAAATCTCTTCAATGACTCTACTTGGACTCATCTCAGAAATAAATAAAGTACTGACTCAACTCAACTCGCGACTTGTATATTTTTAGCAACTGACATGCTGATATCATTCACTTTAGGCAGCAGGCAGGCAAGACCTACCCTCAGAGTTCAGGGTAGGTTTTTTTCAAGGGAAACAGCAAATGTATTAGGCAATAGGCTTAAGGCAGAAGGGTCCTTCTAAAACTTCTGAAAAGCTTTAGAAAACTCCTCTGATCTGCAGCAGGGACAGGGTGCCAAGTAGACCTCAACCCTGGCCTCAAGTCCATTGCTTAACACGTTTGCTGTTCCCCTCCAAGAAATGCACCCCATCTCCTTTTTTGTCTGTTAAAGTTGACTCCTAGACTTAAGACTTGACTTGAAAGTATCTTGCAAGGACCTGAGACTTGACCTGAGACTTGGCGTGAAAGACTTGAATACATAGAGTCATAGAAATATAGAGTTGGAAGAGACCTCCAAGGCCATCCAGCCCAACCTACTGACCTGCAGGAATACACAATCAAAGCACCCTCAACAGATGGCCATCCAGCTCTGTTTAAAGACTTCCAAAGAAGGAGACTCCTCCATTCTCTGAGGGAGTGTGTTCCCACTGTCAAACAGCTCTTATTGTCAGGAAGTACTTCCTAATGTTGAGGTGGAATCTCTTTGCCTGTAGTTTGCATCCATTGTTCCATATCCTAGTTTACGGAGCAGCAGAAAACAAGCTGGTTCCATCCTCAATATGACACCCCTTCAAATATTTAAACATCACTGGTTATATGTTTCCTGTAACCAGCCCCAGCCAACAGCCTGTCTGCAGCATTTTGAACCCACTGAAGTTTCCGAACCAAAGGCAGCTTCACATAGAATGTCTTATCTTAATCCAGCTGGAATATAATCAAGGCACGTTTTACCGTAACCAGATCTGAGGTCTCAGGAAGTTGTTTCCTCCTGATGAATCAGACAACTACACAGTGTTCTACTCAGGGAATGAAAAGACAAGAAGAAATGGAGTGGCTTTCAGACTAGGAAAAGATGTGGCAAAAGTAGTCAGCAGATACAATGCAAATCATTTCAGTAAGGCTCCATGGTAAGCCTATGAATATCATCATAATGCAAGTGTATGCACCAACCACAAAGGCAGAACAGGAAGAAACTGATAGATTCTATGCAGGAGTACAGGAAGAAATTGACAGCACACCAACACAGGATATTAAACTAAGCATTGGAGACTGGAAGGTAAAACATCACAAATGTACAGTCCCACAACCCTCCCACCCCTTAAAACAGTATTAAACATCATAGAATTAAAACAACAACAAACAACAGGCAATTGAACAAATAACAAAGATCAAAGTGGCAGAGTAGACAACTAGTACCAGGTATGGCAGGGAAAGGGGAGGGGCTGAACTCGCTCCTTAGGTCTGGAAGACTAATCATGGAAGGCCTGCCGGAAGAGATCCGTCTTCACAGCTTTTTTTAAAGATGTTTAGATTGGTAATATGACAGATTTCATCAGGCAGGCCATTCCATAATCTGGGAGTGGTTGCTAAAAAGGTCCTCTGGGAGGTTGCAGACAGCCTAGTTTTAATAGGCTGAAGCAGGTTCCTCCCAGAGGACCGGATTGCACTGGACAGATTATATGGAAGGAGGCAGTCCCAAAGATAGGCTGGACTTAAGCCATGTAGGGCTTTAAAGGTGAAGACCAGCACCTTGTACTGAGCCCAGCAACTAATTGGCAGCCAGTGTAGTGATTTTAGGACCGGAGTTATATGGTTTCTCCAGCCTGGCTGCCATGTTCTGTACTAGTTGGAGTTTCCAGACTAAGCACGAGGGTAGCCCCATGTAGAGCGCATTACAGAAGTCAAGGTGAGAGGTTACCAGTGTGTGCACCACAGTTTCAAGTTCCCTGATTTCTAGGAAAGGGTGCAGCTGGTGTATTAGCCAAATCTAATAACAGGCGCTCCTGTCCATTGCATTTACCTGATTAGTCATCTGGAATGATGGATCCAGGAGCACCCTCAGACTGCGAACACAGTCCCTAATGGAGAGTGTGACCCCATCCAGGGCTGAAGGTTGTATCCCAATAGCTAGTTCAGGGCTGCTACTGTTATCACCAAGGGCTGGAGAAGATAGGCACAAAAGAGTGGCCGGAGTCCGCTCTGGCCACAAATGGATAGGGACAATGCCAACTGCACAGCCCACTCTCAAAGTGGGCCACAGCTGTAAGATCCAATTTGCACCACCAGGTGCTGAATTATCCTGGCTTCTTTTTGCTCTGGTCCAAAGAACTAGTGTGTGGCTACAGTGCAGCTTCAAGCTGCTTTGGAGGTGTGCATTGTTTGAATGCTATGCCTCCAAAGCATCTGGA